TGCCCCTCTGCCTTCTCCACCTGAGTCCTCTCTTCCTGCTCTTGCTGACCCGGAGTCGGACTCTCTTCGTGCTCCCAGTCCTACTGTCACGCGTCTCCTTGCTACTGTCGTCACTGACCCTTCCTTTGAGTCCACTACAGCGTGTGCTCTAGTTACTGAGCTCGTCGACTTTGCTGCTAGCTGTCGTCTAGACTACGTTGCTAGTCTTGTCGCTGAGTTTGAGTCTGTCTGTCCTCCGTCTGTCGGGGGTGAGTGTGCCCTTGGCACGAACATCCTTGAGGACAGGCAGGAGGAGTTCAAGTGTCGGGCAGCTGCTTCAACTCATCTCGTGTCCGTACTGCTTACCCCTGAGGGAGACCCTGATGCACTTGACATCCCGACTCCGCGCTCTTACGCGGAGGCGACAGAGGGTCCCTACTCCTCTCAGTGGCAGGCAGCTATGGATGCAGAGATGGCTTCCTGGAAGTCCACAGGCACCTACGTTGACGCTGTCCCCCCTCGTGGGGTGAACATCGTCAGTGGCATGTGGATCTTCAGGGTGAAGCGGCCGCCGGGCTCTCCGCCTGTCTTGAAGGCGCGTTACGTGGCTCGTGGCTTCAGGCAGCGGCAGGGAGTTGACTACTTTCAGACCTTCTCCCCCACTTCGAAGATGACCACTCTTCGGGTACTGCTGCACGTTGCTGCTCACCGTGACTACGAGCTGCACTCTATCGACTTCAGCACAGCTTTCTTGCAGGGCAGCCTGCACGAGGAGATCTGGCTGCGCCGCCCACCTGGCTTCACTAGGTCTTTCCCTCTTGGCACCCACTGGAGTCTCCGGCATCCAGTCTACGGTCTCCGCCAGGCGCCACGTGAGTGGCACGACACACTGAGGAATACGCTTGCGGCTCTTGGGTTTGCTCCTTCTTCTGCCGACCCGTCGCTATTTCTGCGCACCGACACCTCTCTGCCGCCGTTCTACATCCTCGTGTACGTCGACGACTTGGTCTTTGCCACAGCTGACACTGCTGGACTCGCCTACGTGAAGTCCGAGCTGCAGAAGAGACACACGTGCACAGCTACCTTGGCTTGCAGATCACCCGGGACAGAGTACGCCGCACCATTACCCTGACTCAGTCACACATGGTGCAGCAGGTCCTTCAGCGCTTCGGCTTCACGTACTCCTCGCCTCAGGCCACTCCTCTGCCTACTCGCCACTCACTCTCAGCTCTGCCTTCGGATGAGTCCGTAGAGTCGAGTGGCCCGTATCCAGAGCTTGTTGGCTACCTCATGTACCTGATGACCTGCACACGACCTGACCTTGCATACCCTCTTAGCATTCTTGCATGCTATGTTGCTCCTGGGAGACACCGACCAGAGCACATGGCTGCAGCGAAGAGGGTGTTGCACTACTTGTGCAGTACGTCAGGCATGGGGCTAGTGCTTGGAGGGCGGAGTCCAGTGGTCCTCACAGGGCACGCTGACGCTTCTTGGGCTGACGACCAGGCTACGCAGCGGTCGTCACAGGGTTACACCTTCAGCCTTGGTTCCGGCTCTGTTTCGTGGCGGGCTACTCGCTCGTCTTCTGTTCTCGGCTCCATTTGTGAGGCTGAGATCTACGCCGGGGCCATGGCAGCACAGGAGCTTCGCTGGCTCACCTACCTGCTGACCGACCTTGGAGAGCCGCCTCGTTCTCCTCCAGTCCTGTACGTAGACAACAAGGCAATGCTGGCCTTGTGTCGAGAGCAGAGACTGGAGCACAGAACAAAGCACATTGCTCTTCGCTACTTCCTTGCTCGTGAGCTACAGCAGCGTGGTCAGTTGCGGCTTGCGTACGTGGCCTCGGAGGCCAACACTGCTGATGTTTTCACCAAGGCACTTCTGCCTTGTGATCATCAGCGCTTCTGCACTCAGCTGGGTCTTGTCCCTGCCTTGCCTCACTTGCTCACCTCTTGACCTTGCTTGTACTGTTACATATATATATTCCTGCTCTTGCTTGTCTAGCCTTATATATATATGTACTCCTGCATGTGAACTGGCCTTGTGGCCTTGAACTTGTGCTCAGAATGTGTGGTGACGTTGTGATCCACCCTGAGCTTGCTTTGCTTTGCTTTGCTTGACTGGTCTTGTGACCCCTTGTTCTCCCCCACTTTGCCTATGGGGGTGTGTCAGAACATTATAGCTTATACTTTTGTGTAGGCTGTAGTGGGGTATCCCATAGGGGGTACAACCCAATTAGGGTTAGTACTTGTACCCACTTCATTCATAGTTCATTCATTCTCGTTTCAATATTCACAAAGTTGTTTCTGGTTTATGTGGACGACATTCTTCTCTTTAGGAGCAGCATGAAGGAGATCCAGAATGTGCAGCAGCAGCTGATGGAGAACTTCAAGTGCAAGAACCTTGGGGAGGTAAAGTACTACCTCGGGATGCACGTGGAGAGGGATCTGGATCACAGGTGGTTGAAGCTGCACCAGGAGAAGTTCATCAAGGAGTTGGGGGAGAAGTACGGGATTGAGAATGAGCGCAAGGTTGCAACTCCCCTGCCAGCAGAATTCAAGCTTGTGAAAGCTGCCGAGGATGAAGGGGTTGAAGTCGAGGAGCAGCAGCACTTTCAGTCCTTGGTGGGCAGCCTCTTGTATGCAGCAGTTCATACGAGGCCCGACATCTCTTTCTCGGTTGGGCAGCTGGCTAGGGTGGTGCAGAATCCATCAGAGGAGCAGGTGGATGCAGCTTAGTGTATTGTGAAGTATCTGAACTCCCACCCAAGCATTAGAGTTCAATACTCCGCATCTGCACAGGTGAAGCAGAAAGGGGTTGAGGTGCTGAAAGAGAAGGGGGAGAGGCTTGGAGAAGGCAAGCTCTTTCTCACTTGCTTTACCGATGCAACTTGGGCTTCTGAGAAGGAAGATTCTTCATCTGTGGGAGGATACATCTGCGTAGTTGGGGGAGGACCGGTTAGTTGGAGGTCAAAGAAGCAGACTGAGACGGCACTCTCTTCCGTGGAGTCAGAGTACATGGCAATGTTTCATGGGGTGAAGGAGGTGATTTGGCTGAGGAGGCTGTTGGAGGAGATTGGCCAGGAGCAAAAGGTTGCTACGCCGCTGTTTTGTGATAGCAAGGGAGCTCTTGGAATGGCCAGGAACGCTGTGCTTCATGGGCTCAATAAGCACATGCGTATCAAGTGGCACTGGTTGCGTAAGGAGGTGAAGAGGGGGACGGTGAATCCGATCTACATCAAGACTCACCAGCAGCCAGCAGACTTCCTCACCAAGAGGCTTGCAGATGAGCCTCATTGGCGTTGTGTGCGCATGAGTGGAATGAGCATGAACTAGTATGGAATGATGGGGATGCAGCTGGCAGGCTGAGGGGGAGTGTATCGGGTGCAAATTCACATTGCACGACATCCTGTTGTCTGTTTGTACGAGTATGCGTGTGCGAATGCATTTGGGTATGAATGAAATGTTCGTGTGTTTGTTTGCTTTCGCAATTTTCGCTTGAAGCATTTGCAGGTACTCACGCATTGTGCGCTTCGGCATAACATTGTACGCGCTATGAACAGTACAAGCAGAAAGGACGAGCTCGCAAAGGAACCCAAGATGGAAGCTTTGCGGTTCAGCTTACTTGATTGCGCAGATTCAGTTCTATCCAACTCGAAATTGTACTGTTTTGATTGGTTGACTATAGTGTAGCAGGGCAGGCACTATAGAGGTACAATTCAGGTGGAGGTTGGATGTTGTTGTCTGTATCTGCATGCTACAGGGCCAGGGGAAACCAGCGGAACCAGCATTTGGCTGGTCGGGCAAAGACAAAACAAGTTCTGTTTTTAGGACCTGAACCTGGTTGTTGTTTTCCAAGGTTGGAAAAACAGAACCAGAGGTTGTTTACCAACCTACCACCTGCTGTTTTGTCCAGCCAGGTTGGTTCTGTTGCTTGGAATTATTTGGGATCATCCTTGGTTGTTCCCAGATTTATTCCCAAGGTCCTTCCTAGCTAGAACTATTTTTTCCTTCTCTGTTTGTACCTGGATATAGTGAAATTGATTCAAGCGAATTCCTTCCTTGCTGAAATTTCGTTTCTACGCGGTGCGACAGCGGAATGCTACCTGAGTCAACGCTAGTACGCTAGCACTCCAACACTAGGCAAACGCTGTCTGAGCCATAACTTCGTAATGGCAGAACTTTTCGCGAGGCAACTTGGTTCATTTTAAAGCTCTTGGTTCATCAGCTTGCGTCACCCACTCACGTCCACACATGCTGCCTTTCTTTTTGTCATCCATTCCACCACCACGCCATCAGCTCCGTGGCCTTCAACTACCTCACCGGATCACTCCCCATCGCACTCCCCACCACGCTCGCCTCTCTAGACGTGCAAAGCAACTTCCTGGTGGGTTCCGTGGCGGCCAACAGCATGCCTATTGCGCCAGCACGGGCAACTGCCTGGTGGACGCGTCCAAGTGAGCATCAGTGGGACTACCACAGTGCAGCGCTGCTCAATATGCCGTCTGTGGCTCCACCAACGCCCAGGGCGCTCTGTGTGCTGCTGCCACCACCTACCGGGTTGCTGCTGCTAGGGCTGGGGTGACCACTCCCTCCACTGCGCTTTCCGCTAGTCTCGCTATCTTCTGCGAGGCTATTCTCATGGGCTTGGCAACAAGTGAGTGCGCTCTTGTGCTTCTTCTGAGTCCCCCCCGACCACCTCTGTTATCTCTCTCTTCCTCATGCTCCCTTGGTTTGAAAGAGTGATGGGATACAGAAACCGGTGAGCGCAGAGGCAGGTACTCCTAGCTACGTTTTGCCAAAAACAAGTAATAAAGAGCTGGGAGGTAGTTTTGAATTTCCATGCCACGTAAGGGATACCTCAGGGGCTGGGTTTTAGGATGTGATACAGGTTTTGTAACCATTTCTCTGGAGATCAGTGGAACACATGTAATAACTGCCTACATCACCACCTTCTACCCACCTGCTCTCTCCTCACTCCTCCTTCACCCACCTCCCATGCACGCCTTACCAGCCCAAACGATGCAGGCCATCAAAGCTGCACTGGGGGTGACGCTCACAGACAGGGCAGGGTCTCAGGGCACGTGCACGTTGGAGAGGCAGACTCCTGGCCCAGGCGCATGGACCGGCGTCAACTGTAGCTCCACGGGGGCTGTTGTGGGCATGTGAGTGCTGCCATGCTGCTGTGCTTTGCCGTGTTGCTGTGGGAATGTGGAAGGTTGCTCCTCTGTTGCCACTGGAGCTCGATTGTGTTGTGAAGATGTAACATGGATGGATTGAGCGGTATCCCACCGTCACTTGCTCTTTCGCTCCACTCTCCCACTTCTCTCCCCCTTTTGCTCTTGCAGTGTCCTCCACAACAAGAAGCTGAGTGGAAGCCTCTCAACGGACATCACCAAGCTCACAGCCCTCACCATGCTAGCCCTCCCAATCCCTTTTTGTTGTGGACGCTTTCGTAGTATCTGCTCTGTCCCACTACTTGTTGGTCAAACCCAACTAACTGGCCTGTCTTCTCCATCTAACTGTTTCCCCTTCTGTTCGTGTGTGCCTGTATATGCATGCATGTGTGTGCATGCATGTGTGTGCATGCAAGTGTGTGCGTGCATGCATGTGCATGCATGTGTGCAGCGACCTGAGCTCCAACCTCTTCCAGCGCCGCCTGGATGTCTTTGTCTCTGCCGTCTCTGCCCTCAAGGCACTCAAGAATATGTACGCCTCGCCACAGTCCGCTAGCTCTATTTATTTGCTGAATGCTCTATAATGTTGACTGTCAACCATAGACACACACACACACACTCACACTCACACACACACACACTCAGAATCACACACACAAAGTGGTGTGCTGTGCGTGAATATTGACATGCTATTGGGACAACACTGACATGGTATTGGGTGCACTACACATGGTACTGTATGCTCTGCTGTGCTGTCTCCATCAAGTCGCTGAATGCTGCTTTGTGCTGCAGTATGAATCCGCCTCTCACCAATCCTCTCCACTCCTCTGCTCAAATGCCCCTCACATCACATCACTCCCCACCCACCGTCACCTGCAGTACAAGTGGTTTACCAGCTCCATTCCCTCCTCCCTTATCGCCTTGTCTGTCCTTTCCACCCTATGAGTGATCCCCTCTCCACTCGTGTGTGTGCTTTAAAAGACCTAAAGCATTACTTTCCACCACCATCCCGTCCTGTACACATTCACTCAACGCTCCCGCACACATCCCCCCTCTCCCACACTTGCCTCACTCTCGACACTCAGTTTGGAACATGTTTATGCTCATTCGCACATTACCATCTTCCTCCTCCACCCTCCACTGTCCATGCCCCACTTTCAGAACCTCAACCCCGCCTTTCTTCCCTTCCCTCATGCTTCTTCCACTTTTCCCTCCCTCTCCCTTCTTCACCCGTCCCCACACTGCCACCCCCACCGCCACGCACAGCAAGCTGAACCGCAATTATCTGACGGGCACAGTGCCGGCATTCAAGGCGTCACTTAAGGCCCTCAACATGGCCAGCAACCTGCTCTCGGGCGCCTTCCCTGCCATCTCCCTCACCACCTGCGATGCGCGCTCCAACTGCCGCTCCAGCACCAGCAAGTGCGACAACGCTGCCGGCACGGCGCAATGGTTATCCTCAGAGCGCAGCGTGTGCGGGTCCACCGATGCTTCTGGCGTTTTGTGTGGGGGAGGGCTGTGCGCCCCTGATGCCTCTGCCCCTGCTGCCTCCTCCACCCCCAACACGGATGGCCAACCGCTGCTGCCACTGAGCTGCCTGGGAGTGCCTATGGATGCGGCCATGGGGTTGGCGCTGCTGAGTGTGAAGGCATCGCTGGGTGTCACATTCACGGATTGGAATGTGGATGCGCCGTATGCACTAGCAGGGCAGGCCGTGGTGCCGGGCTTGTGGTCCAGCGTTGTGTGTGACGCCACCGGCAAGGTTCTTACCCTGTGAGTGCAGGGGGGCTGCCTCATAAGGCTTAATTGTGGGCGCATAAGTTTCACCTTGAATTCACTCAAGCTCACTTGCTCACATGCTCAAAGGCTCTGCTTGGCTATGCTCATATTCTCACATCGCCACATGCTCATACAACACGCTCTGAAGCTCACATGCTCTGAGGTGCACGTATGTGGGCTGTGCCATGCTGCAGCGAGCTGAACAACAACCTCTTCTCAGGCCGCCCGGATTCCTTCCTCACCCCTCTTCTTCCTGTCAAGACCCTCAAAGTCCTGTGAGTTGCACTCGCTCCCACAACCCCTACCACACTGCATCCCCAACCCAACCACACTGCACCCCCAACCCAACCATACTGCATCCCCAACCCAACCCACTGCATCCCCAACCCAACCACACTGCAACCCCAACCCAGCCACACTGCACCCCCAACCCAACCACACTTCACCCCCAACTCAACCACACTGCATCCCCAACCCAACCACACTGCATCCCCAACCCAACCACACTGCATAATGAACAAGAATTCGGCAGTGCCATTGCATCCACCTGGATGATCTTGCCTGTCTTGCCTGTCTTACCTATCTTGCAAACCCAAATGGATTGGATTTTGCATGTGACACCACAAGGACCTCATCATGAGGGTTGCATCTTTGATGCTAGGAAGGTTCTCACCATCCTTCCCAAGCATTTGGAAAGCCTTCCCTCACAAGGTTCTCTTGAAACCCCCCAACTCCTTATTCTATGCCTAATGTTTGTTCTTCCTCCATCCTTTGAAGTGAGAGCAGCAGCTCTAAGTTTTCAGTTGGTTCTTACTCGTTAGACCATGAAATCAAGTGATTTAACTTGCTAATGGTAGCTAATACCGGCACGCACAATCCCACTGAGCGGATTTGCGTTCAGTTGAGATTTGAGTTCGTCGTAAGTCTTCAAAGTGACCGGATCCTAAGCAACACGGTGTGTGCGTGCGTGTGTGTGTGTGTGTGTGTGAGTGTGTGTGTATGTGTGCGTGTGTAAAGGGGACATGTGAGAATGTGGTTGCCAAATGGGGCCGAGGAGCCTTGCATGACTTCCTGCTCCGTTCCGTACAACCAGAGTGTTGTGTATGATCTCAAAGCAAATCCTATCAGATTATGTCAGACCCTTCAAAAATTTCCTCAGTGTATTCCGTTAAACTTTTCCGCATTGCTCTGCCTGATAAGAATCGAAACGACTCACCCAACCTGCCTCCCACTCCCCTCCCCCTTCCCCTCTACCCCCCCTAGCTGCGGCACTGCTGAGTGTATAGGCATCGCTGGGAGTGTCGTTCACCTGCTGGGCGGTGAGCTCGCCGTGTGCCGTGGAGGGAGTGGCAGCACCGCCAGGCGCGTGGTCCAACGGCCTTTGCAACTCTGCCTTCAAACCCGTCTCCCTGTCAGACACCCGGTCTTCACGCCGTCTTACCCATGCTGCCGGCCCGCTGCTGCTGCTTCTGCTGCGGCTGCTAAGGCTGATCCGAGAGTTCCAATTCGCAGTTTAAAGTAAATGAATGTTTACCTCCCTGTTAGCATCACGTCTCTTTGGACGTCCTTGTTGTTGGTTGTGTCTGGCTGTTTGCGGCAGTGTCTGGCTGAGTTTGGCTGTGTATGGCTGAGTTTGGCTGTGTTTGGCTGAGTTTGTCTGTGTCTGGCTATGTTTGGCTGTGCTTGGCTGTGTTTTCCTGTGCTGGGCTATGTGTGGCTGCGTTTGGCCGTGTTTTGGCTGTTTCTGGCTGTGTTTGGTTGTTTCTGGCTGGTGTTTGGATGAGCAGCAAGCTGTCGGGGCAGAAGCTGGCAGGAAAGATGCACTCTGACATCTCCAAGCTCTCCACCCTCACCTCCGTGTAAGTCTCTTCTTCAGCTGCCTCAAAGGTCTCCCCGACCAATCTCCCTCGCTGCCATATGTTAGTGTCCCCGTTCGTGCCTTCCACGCTTCATGGAATTTTTGTATCGTCGTATCGTCCAGCTTCGTCAATCTCTCTTCCCAACCAACTCCCACATTCACATATGAAACGCATCCACTGTATCCTCTATGACACCATTCATTCTATGCACTCACCGCTGTTGTTTGCTCATCTACTCATTTCAAAGTGATCCGTGTTGTTGTTTCTCCTTACTGTCTCTCACCCGCTTATGGCTCTAACGTGCTGTCTCTGATTCTCCTCTTGCTCGCTTACCAACTTCGTTCAACTCGATCCTCACTTCTCACCTTCTGGTGCTTACTCAAACCTTCTTCCACACCCCTCACCTCTATCCCCCCTCTTTAACCGAGTACGTATACCCCCTCCCTGTCTCCCCATGTACCCCTTACAGTGATTTCAGCAGCAACCTATTGCAGGGGCGTTCACAACCAGCTTCAAGGCGCTCACCTCGCTCAAGCAAGCGTGAGTGCAGAGAGCAGAGCAGAGCTGAGGAGAGTAGTGCAGAGGAAAAGGTGTAAACATGCACAACATAGCAGCGTAGCTGTAAGCTTGCAGTGCTGAGCTCATAAGCTGAAACAGAAGCATAAGCTGAAAGGAGGCAGACTGCCGCAACTCTCTCTGTCTACCATGGCATGGATACCCGTCCCGTTCCTCTTATCAAACCTCCCCAGCTTCTCAATTCAGCCACCCATTGCCACCCCTCTCTGCTTTCCCCCATACTCCTTCCACTCCCCTCCTATCTTATCCCCTCCACTCCTCAGAACTCCCGACATCTCCTCCTCTCTTTCTCACCCACTCATCTCCCTCCCAACCCTATCGCCTCGCCCATGGCAGCAACTTCAACTTCAACTGGTTCGCTGGGTCCATCCCCTCTGCCCTTGTGGGCATCGCATCCCTCACATTATTGTGAGACCTCCTTGCTCCATTTCCTTTGCTCTTGCTGCCCCATTGTCTTCTCTCCTGCTGCATCACTGCATCTGCCCCACCTCACCTTTAACCTCACACTCACTCTCCCACTCGTTCCCCCCATCCGCACCCTCCTCACCCTTCCCTCTTCAGCGGTGCGAGCTACAACTACCTGTACGGCCCCGTGCCCAAGCTCGGCACGGCTCTCAAGGCCATTGACGTGCCAAAGAACTGGCTGGCCGGCACATTACCCGGCACTGGCTTCCTCTCCTGCTCTGCCTCCTCCAACTGCCTCACCAGCACAGGCGCATGCAACACCACAGGCACCACGCAGCACCCATTGGCTTCTTGCGCCGTCTGTGACTCTCCCAAGGGCACCGATCCCATCTGCGCTGGTGGCACCTGTGCTCCCAACACTGCAGGGCCTCTTGCCTCCTCCACCACCCCCACCGCCTCTTCTCCCATTCTCCCACGCTTCTGCGTTGGTGTGCCTTTGAACGCAGCGCAAGCCGTTTTTCTCCTCTCTGTAAAGACGACTCTCGGGGTCACCTTCACCGAGTGGTATGCCAGTTACCTTACAGTATCCCCCAAGGCCAAGACCAAGGCCATGGGGTGGCGGCGCTTGGCAGAGAGTGAAGCGAGCAGGGAGAGGGTGCTGCTTGTGGCTCCTCCTTCAGGCCAAGCGGGTCTGTGCACGATTCAAGGCCAGACGCCCGTGCCTGGCTCATGGCGGGGCATTTTCTGCTCGTCTGCCGGGATAGTCGTCGGCCTGTGAGTGCTGTGCTGCTGCCCTACTCTCTCCAGAATTACCCCTGCCTTGCTGATATGCAGCGTTTCTCCATGGTCTTTCCCCTGTGCGTGCTGCTGCTCCTCTCCTCACGCTGCTACGCCCTCCTCACAACCCAGACCCCAGAATGATATGTTGTGTTGTTTCCTCTTGCCATTTGTGTGTGCACCCACCAATCATAGTCCACCCCTGTCCTCATGCCTGACTAGGAACCACCACTCTGTCTTCCCCTGCTGCTCCCTCTTCCCCTGCTGCTCCCTCTTCCCCTACTGCTCCCTCTTCCCTTGCTGCTCCCTCTTCTCTGCTGCTCCCTCTGCCGCTGCTGTCCCTCTGCCCCCTTCTGCCGGAAGGGCAGGGATCTTCGGAGTTTCCTGCTGCGAGGCACCATACATGCCGACATCTCCAAGCTCACCACACTCACTGCGCTGTAAGGCCACGGGTTGCCTCTATTCTTGACTCGAGCATTCATCTTCTGAGTTGATTAGAATGCCACCGTGGGCGGAGGCATTTCTAGACTCGCCACACTCACCGCACTGTAAGGCCGTAGGGTTCGTAGTTCAAGCTAAGGATATTTGGGGTTGATGTTTCAAGTATGCCCAATGGGGTCTGGTACAAGTGACAGGACAGGATTTTCTCTGTTTGGGCGAGAATCGTGTTGTTCGCAACCTGCACTGCACTCATCTCACCCGTATTCCGCATCACAATCCCAACCCAAATGCCTTCCTGCATATACAGCATGCACATTCTTTTGAGCATCAACCAATATCCCTCCATCCCAAACTCTTCACCTACACTTCTCGATTCCCTCATGACTTCCCTCCATGCACAGCTACCTGTCGTCCAATCTCTTTACCTAGCGTCTCGACTCCTTTGTGGCTCCTATCCTGCCCACAACCTCTCTCAAGGAGTTGTGAGTGCACCTCGTGCCCACGACCTCTCGCACACAGCCAAGCTTAATGCGGAGATAACTACTACAACGGGAGCTAGATCACGGGCTAGGCACGGGTGCTCGTGTGATCTCTGCGTTTGTTGGTCCTTAGTCGTTTTCCTAGTACACACACTGCGTGCTAGTTCACGGGGCAAGTTGGCAAGAGTTTCACTAGAGAAAGTTGACAACAATGGTACAAAGAAGTTGGCATGGCAAGACTACATCAGGGCTAGCATTCAGGTCGGTCGACTGCCAGCGCAGCACGTCGACCGCGTTCCAGCACGACTTGGTCGACCGCGCTCCAGTAGTGCAAAGTCGACGGCGTGCCAATGCTGCAGGTCGACGGCGTGCCAGCATTGCTCCCGCAGTACAGCATCGCACCAGCTTCGTAGGTGCTCGCAGATGATTGGCGTGCTGAGCCTCGTCACCTGCACAGCGCACACACCAAGTCAACTTGGCGCTGACGACTGCATCGGATCAGCCACGTAAACCTTGGGATACCACCACCGAGGTCGGACTCGCCAACTTCGCCTGGGCGACCGTCCCACTCCTCCGCAGAACCTCGTTACCCAGGTAACCTAGTCGACCGGGCAACCACGTCGATCAGCTGCTCCCGTATGTGCCCGTCGACCTCCCAAGTCGACGACCACCTCAAGTCGACCTCACCAGGTCGACCACACCCCTGGTCGACCAGCTCCAGGTCGAAGTCACTCCTGGCCGACCAGCTCCACGTCGACCAGCACTCCTGGTTGACCATCTCCATGTCGACCAGCGCTCCTGTTAGCCGACCACCCAGGTCGGCTACCCGAAGTCGCCGTCACCAAGTTGACGCCCTACTACTCGACGCCCTGCTGCTCGGCGTCCTGAGTCGAGGTCGACATCGACCCCTACTCCGTCGACCACCAGCAAGTCAACCAGCAGGCCTGGTCGACTAACCACCAGGTCGACCGGCAGTCCTGTCAGCCGACCACCCAAGTCGGCTGCCCCAAGTTGACGTCACCAAGTTGCCGTCCTCCGCAGTTCGACTTCCCAGGTCGACCTCCTCGAAGTCGGTGCCATCCTGAAGTCGACACCCATGCAGTGGCTCCCGTGAAGGTCAACCTCCTCGTTAACTAGCTCGCCCACTGCTGCAGGTCAGCTGCTCCTCTCACACCCGACCACGAAGTCGGCTCCGCCCAAGCGAGGACGGGGCGAATACACAACTCCCGTTGACACTCCCCTGCCGCGCTCACGCTTGGGCCCCCAGCCCACACGGCAGTACTTCTCAGAGAATACCTCATCGACGTGCACCCAACCCACAGCACGTCGTCCACAGCACCAGCCATGCAAGAGGGCATGGCACCTACTGCTGCACGTTGTCGTCGTCGTCGCCCACGTTGGCCAAGCGCACCTGACTGATGGCAACGGAGCACCGGTTGAAGGCCGGATAGTGCAGCGCCTTTGTCAGGAAGTCGATCGGCTGCTCGGTGGTCGGGATGTACCTCAACGACAACTTCCCGCGCTTCACCATGTGCTGCAACCAGGCATGTCGCCACTCCATGTGCTTGAGGTTGCCTGTTAACCCCATGCCCTCGGCGTCCGTAATGGCCGACTTGTTGTCCACCCGGAGGACGGTTGGCTTCCCAGCATCCAGCTGCTGGAACTCTGCGAGGAGGGAGCGAAGTTGACGTCCCTTCTTGCCGGCTTCGGTGGCCGCCACATATTCCGACTCGGTCGACGACAACGTCGCGCACTTAATGTGCTGGCTCCACCACGAGACTGCGGCCCCTCCGTAGACGAACATGTAGCCGCCCGTGCTCGTCTTGTTCTGCTTGTCACCAGCATCGTCGGTGTCCATGTAGCTGACCAGCTCCAGCGACTCAGGTCCACCGCCAAACTCCAGAGCGGTGTCACGCGTGTTGGCGAGGTAAGCAAGGCAGCGGTCGACCTCACGCCAGTTCTGGTCGCTCCTCACCGTGAGGCCGCTCCCCAGATCGCTGCAGGCAAAGGGGATGTCCGGCCTCGTCCTCGTTGCCGCGAACGGCAGCGAGCCGACCTTCTGCCGGTACTCCTCCTCCTGTCGCTCCTGTGCCTCCTCATCGCCGAAGGTGAGGTCGGCATAGGCATCGACCGAGACCGGCGTCTTCGGGGTGTGCCGAGTCTGCTCCTCGTTAATGAAGCGCATACGCAACTTGTCGGCGTACCTCTGCTGGTGCAGCCACAGCTTCCCCGCCGACCTGTCGCGGACGATCTCCAGCCCGAGGTACTTCTGCACCGGCGAGATCTTGCGCAACTCGAAGGTGGACTCCAGCAGCTCCTTCAGCCCCTTCAGCATCTCAGTGCTACTGCTCGCGGCGAGCAGGTCGTTGACGTAGACCAGCACCCAGCAAGCCACTCCATCGTTGAGCGACCTTGAAGTAGAGAGCCTCGTCGACCTGGCTCTTCTTCCACCCGGCGCCTACCACCACATCGTTGAGCGCCAAGTACCACAGCAGCAGCGACTACTTCAGCCCGTACAGGCTCTTCAGCAGCTTGCAGACCCGGCCGGTTCCGTCGTTGAAGTAGTCCGGCTGGGACATGTAGAGCATCCAGTTGAGCTTACTTTGCAGGGAGGCGTTCTTCATGTTGAGCTGCATCAGGTTGAGGTTGAGGACGGCAACGATGCTGAGGAAGATCCTCAGCGTGACGTAGCTGCCCACCGGCGCAAACATCTCGTCGTAGTCGGCGCCGTACACCTTCGTGAAGCCCTTCACGACCAGCCTCGCCTTCTCGCGCTCAACAGTGTCGTCGACGTGGTACTTCGTTGTCGGCACCCACCGGTTCTTCATGATGTTCACCCCCGGCGGGCGTTCGACCAGCTCCCACGTGCCCATATTGATGAGGCTGCGGATCTCCTCCTCCATGGCGGCCTTCACCGCCGGGCCCTTCCAGCTTGCCAGCGCCTCCTTCACCGTCATCGTCGAGATGTCCCAACGGTGCTCGGGGTCGGCATGGATGTCGAGGTCAAGCTCCGGAAACTCCTCATCCTCCTCGGTGTCCTCATACACCAAGTCGTCGTCGTCCACGTTGTATACTGGGGTGAAGGCAGCGGGGATGAAGAAATCGGGTGGCCTCCGAAGTCCGCTTGACTTCCGGGGTTCAGGCCGAACCTCCACCACGTCGCTGTCGGTGGACTTTTCCCCTTCGTCACCGGCTTTGCTGCCCTCGTCGTCCTGCTGCACCTCAGTTGACTTCCTGGCCGACTTCTCCCCTGCGATCAGCTTCTCTGCCGACTCCCTAGGCGCCAGCTCCTCCCTGGTCGGTTTCACTGCTGCCTGTTCCCTCGTCGGCTGCTGCCCAGCTGCCTCCTTTGCCGACTTCACCCAAGTCGGCTTCTCCTCCTCAACCTGCTCCTCCCCTGTCGATTTCACCCCCACGTTGACTTGCTGCTCGTCATGTCGGCCACCGGTGATGCTCTTGGCCGGCACCGAAGGCGACGTCCCACTACTCCTCTCATTGCCGGAGGCTGACACCAAGGTCAGCCCGCGCAGGTCGGCTAGGAGCAGAGGGGCAGGGGTCGTAGACGGAGGGGAAGGAGGACGGACGTCCTCGACGTCCTCAGCAGCAAGCTCACCGACCTCAGCTAGTAGAGGCAGCGTCGCCGTCGAGGTGTCGGTCGGCGGGGTGGTCGGCGTCCGTCCTGACACCTGCCCGTGTTCCGACTTCCACTCAGCCAGCAAGAGATCCTCGTAGAACACCATGTCCGACGTGGTGACCACCCGGTTGTCGGCGATGTCGAGGAGCTCCCAACCCTTGCTCTCCGCCGACACGCCGAGGTGAAGGCCCCACCGGGACTTTGGCTGCAGTTTCCCACCACGCTGCTGCTCGTGGACGAGGATTTGCGCCATGCAGCCCCACACCCGCGCCAGCAACAAATCGGGCTTCTGCCCGGTCAGCAGCTGGTGCGGCGTCGTCCCCGACGGCAGCGTTGACCTCTCAAAGCAGTTGCGGACCCAGACGGCCTGTCGCAAAGCGAGGTGCCACCAGTGGTGCTGCATGCCCATGTGCAGCAGCATCGTCCGCACCGGCTCCTCCACCGTCC